CGCCCGCCCCCGGCCCCCGCGAGCCTCGCTGAAGAGCCGGACGGCTCGAGGGCAGGCTTGGGTGGGAGCGATGCAGCTGTTGTAGGCGAGCCCCTCGCTGCCCTAGCAGAGGCACTCAGCCAGAGGTAAAAAGCAAATGAACAGTAAGCATAAGAAGAAAATAGGGGAGCGGAGTAGGTAGCAGGCGTTCTAGCAAACTCCTTGTTTCCCTCCGACTTGGAGAACACCCCTGAAGTGAATGGTTTAGCCCTGGGAGGTGGAGGAGCACGCCCCAGGCTGCACGCGGCAGTTGCCATGGGCGCTGGGAGTCCGAGAGTAGCGGCCGGTCGCAGTTTCCCGGGGAGGGGTGCTTAGGGGAGGAGCCGAGCCCGGGTTGCCGGCCGGAGGTCCGGGGTGGAAGGCAGTCCGGCTGCACCACTGCAGGGGCGGCCTGTCGTCTCCGCCTGTCGGACCCGGCTTTGCTCTGAGCGAGTAGAGTCCGTAGTGCATTCGCCACGCTCTACTGAGCGCCAGTCTCCTGGCTGGACGCCGTCTTCATCCCGGGCAGCAGCTCTCAGCGTCAGGTAGGGGACTCCTGGGGGCCCTGAAGAAATCAAAACAGTTCTCATGACGCAGCACCTTGTTTGCGTTTTCACATCCCCTCACGAGCAGTTCGTAGGAGTCAATGGCAGCTAAGGAGCTCGCGCTTGGTACTCAGTTTTTAAACATTCCTCAGTCTTAATTTCAATGCCACAGTGATGGGTATACTCCACATAAACACAAGCACTTTGGGTTCTACAGTAATTCTTCAAAGTATAGGAGAGCCCTGGCTCCAGGAAATTTGAGAACTTGCCCTGGAAGATCTCACTCCGGAATGCAGGTAACGACCTAACTGAATGGTGAGACCAGTTCTGCAGCACTGATGCCAACCTACGGTGTTTGTCTCGATGCAGATCGCTTTACATGCATCGCCACCTTTACTCCTCATAGGAATCTGTAAGGTAGGATTATCCCCATTTTACAAGTGAAGTTCAAGTTACTAAAAGCTTGCCTGAGATGCTAGTCCTAGTGAGAATACGAGCCTGAAAATGGGCAGCAGCGCAGGATAAAGCAAGGCCAAGCCATGGGGACAGCACTGAAGATCGAACCGCAGGCCTCCACTACTGGATGGTGACCTCGAGCCACAGTCTTCACCTATGAATAGACTACCTTCCTGCCGAGTTGAGGATTAAATGAAATAGCGGAAAGCAGCGTAGATAGCACAATGCCGAACATATAGTAAATCACTCCCAGTTAGCCGGTATAATTATTACAGTCACCATCATCACTAAAGGATGCTTTCTAGCATGATGCCTTAGACAAGGTTTTTGGTTTTTGTTTTGTTTTGTTTTTTAAGTCATGTCGTTTTATTCAACAGATATAACTGGCACAAAATTAGTATTTAAGAATTGGCATGGGGGAGCTCCGCAGGTTGCATGGTGATTAAGATACAGGACTCTCACATGGCTGATTGCTGTTTGGGTCCCAAACCTGGCAACTTGCTTTCTCACTCTCTCTCTCTCTCTCTCTCTCTCTCTCTCTCACTGGTCAAATTAAAAAATAATGATGATTGGGACCAGCAGTTGGCGTAATGGCTATGTCGCTGGATTCCCACATAGTCGACCGCGGTTCGGGTCCCGGACCCGGTGGCTTAAAAACTCACGGGCGCGTGTGTATGTGCCCAAGATCCCAAGAGGATAATGGAGGAGAAGGGATTGCGGCATGGCCATCCCCCCCCCCCCCCCCC